AATGAGAAACACAGAGTGATAGCTTTGGAAGGGTAAATTTCTTGCAAATTATTCTTCCTATATTACTGTCTTCTTTAGTTTGCTAGATGTCCAGCATTTTCTGCCAAAAGAGGATGTGCCCTAAGAACTTGCTGAAAATGTGTCTTGTTAATAAAAAGAAAACTGAATGCTGATAGCTTTGGGCATATTTCTTGACTTATGTTATCACCACCCTTCTCTTTAAACTCTAAAAAAAATGTTGTCAGATATACAGTATGATTCAAAATTAACCTGTAAACTAAAAGCAAATATGTAAACAGAGTCATTGAAAATTCATAAAATTGTATATGAGAAACTAGAATTAAATATAGGAGGAGCCCAATCTTTCTGGGTTGACATACTTTTTTTTTTTTTAAAAAAAAAGCCTTATATTTAATAATTATTCTAAAAGAGAACCAGAACAGGGAGCGAGGGAAGAAGGGATCTGATATATGTAAGTACTTCAACTCAAAATGGAGGATAAGTGGGTAGCTCTGTCTCCTTCATATTCTTGTTCATGAAAACAATAAGAATTGCAGGGCTTTATACAAATTTGCTTTGATGCCTTAGTAGTAAGGAGTTGTGCTGTCATCCCAAAGGCTGACAAACCACCGAAGGGCCAGTTCTGACTCACTAGCACATGATAACAATAATGAATCTAGTTGTTCAATGAAAAATCCCAAAACAAGAAACAGTGTTGATCTCCGTAATTCAAAGATTAATTTCAGATAGGAAACACATAGAGTAAAATTACTATTTGCATCCTTCTTTACCCTCTTATCATTTGTATTTCCCTCTCCCTCTCCTTAGACAATCAGGAACTTGGGGGAGAGTTTCCTGCTAGAATGAGAAAGAAGGGTCCCAAATACACTCTCTGTATCTCAGTTTGAATTCACCACTTGGATTCCACAGGATAATATGGGCAAAACCCCTCCTGTGTGATTTACAATCTTAGAAAGCCCATTGGAGGGCCAGATATGGGTTTGTTCTGACTTGGTAGTACATAACAATAACATAGAAATTTGTACAATGAATAAGGATGACAGAAGAATTGATTACTTTAAATTGTGGTATTGGTGAAACTTATTGAATTTTCTGCAGACTGCACAAAGGACAAACAAAACAGTCTTGGAGGGAGTACAACCAGGTTGCTTCTTAGGGGCAAGGGTAGTTAAGTTTCATTTTGCATACTTTGGGCATGGTGTCAGGAGGGGCCCATCCTCAGGAAAGATAAAGGGTCAGGGAAAGAGAGGATAACTCTCAAGAAGATAAACTGACACAGCTACTCTAACAATGAACTTGAGCATCTTGGAGATCATGAGGGTGGCTCAGGATAGGCCTAGGTTCCAATTTGTTATTCACATGGTTGTTTTGAGTTGTTGAATTGATGGCTTCTAACAACAGCATGCACACTTAAGGGGGGAACTTTGGTGGCTTTAGTAGATAGTGAGTTGCACTGTTAACTGAAAGGTCGTATGTTTCAAATCTACCAGCTCCCAGAAACTGATGGCAAAATTTGAAGCTTTCTGTTATTGTATAATGTATTCTAGGGAAAAATAAGGTTAACTTCCTCACTTGAGTGTTAATATTTATCCGTTTGTCTTGACTCTTATTCCATGAAGTTACACAAATGAAATACAAGAATCAGTTCTTTTGAAAAACTCTTTCTGAATCAAGAGTCAAATCTTAGTATATATGAACCAGTCTTGAAAAGTTGAGAGTATTGACCATCTCTTTAAAAATTGGCTGCAAATGAGATAAATTTTGAGGTGAATCCTATTTCACTTTTACAATCTGTATCTCTCCACTATTTAAAATGATCATTCCCATCTTAGTTTTATTTCTGGTCTGATGTTGGTGTGAATAGCATGGGTAATTTAACAGATTAGCAAACCCCCAAGTGTGTGGTAATATATCATCAGTAATATGCAAATACTATGATTAGGTTCATTCCTTCAAATATCAATTTGGAAAAGGAGAAATTACGGGGAAAAAAATACAAATCCCTATCAAGAAACCAAGCAGAGGTGATTATCCAGGAGAGTGGGTGGCAATTGTTTAATTAGGAAAGTTCCTTAAAGGGCAGTGACTTTTATGGAATGAAAATGGTTTTAGATGAAAAGTCAAATATGAGTAGGCAATTTTCTTCTTTTTATCTTAATAAAATTTAGATAAAATAGAGATTTTGCTTGAATGAGAGAAAACTACGAGAGCTATGTTTTCTTACATCCAAGAGAATCAAAAGGAAAGGACTAGCATAAAGGACCCTGATGCTGGACCAAAGATAGTATTTAATCTGAAAGACAGCAAAGGAACTGAAAAAGTTAGAACTGTATGTAGAATGACTAGTGAATAGCAAGTAAAAAACAAAAGAAACACAACTCCAAAATCAACAGGTCCTAACTAAGTCTAAGAGGTAGTTACAAAAATAAGGGCAAGTTTTATTTATTTTTCAAAATTCCATTGTGTATGATGAATGTGTGGCAGAAAGATGGACATTTGCTCCCATGCAATTTACAGCCTCTGAAAAACCACTGAAGGGCCAGATCCAACTCACTAGCATATGACAACAATAGCAAATCTAGTTGTTCAATGGGAAATCCCAAAACAATAAACAGTTGTTGATCCCCGTAACTCAAAGATTAATTTCAGATAAGAAACACACAGAATAAAATTACTATTTACATCCTTCTTTACCCTCTTAACTTTTGTCTCTCCTTCTTCCTCTCTTTAGACAATCAGAAACTTGGTAGCAGGGAGGGGGGGAGTTCTCTAAATTTGGCTTGTATTATTGATAGAATCCGAAAGAAGGGTCCCAAATACACTCTCTGTATCTCAAGATCTAGCACTAATCTAAGCAAGTGGTCAGAAGGCTCTGCTGGGCCTCTCCCAGGACACTGAGTTAGTACATTTTTACTCCAAATGTAGGTCTATGCATCACTACGTATGTACAGCATTGTCAAGGTGACTGTATTTTCTATGTGCTCTAAGAATACTTTTAGGGACTATGGGTAAATATTCACAACAACTACTTCATGTTCACCAAAATATGTCTGCTGAAAAGAAAGAGTTTCATTACTAAAAGCACCATGCTTTCTCATTCAAATTGTTCTCTTTAAGAATATGCACACTGCTCTAGTCTAAAATATTTTGTCAATTGTGAACATCATAGGAATTTAAGAAAATATTTTCCCAAAAAGCCAAGAAGAAAAAAAAAGAGCTTTGTACTTGATTATTCTTTATCTACTTGGAAGAGGGTAGGGTGGTGGGAGAACCATTAAGAAAACCATTTAATTTTTCTATCTCTGTTGTAGGCAATATTACCTGTAATACTTTTGTCAAATCTCAATGTGAATGAAGGAGATGAATTATACTGGGGTTAGTGGTATCATTATTATTATATTACCATTGCAGGTTAGTGAGGTGGATCTTTTACTTCCACCACATCATATAGGAATAAACTGCTGAAAACTTTAATAGTACTAAATTTATACTAATCTTACTTCATTAAAGCACTTTCAAAATTAATATCATTTCTTCAAAACTGATTTTGTAAAACCTCTCTTTGCTGAGCTCCAAAACTCAGATTGGATGAAAATTTATTCAATTTCTTGTGTCCATGAATTAGAAATTTGAATCCTATTAGGCTAAACATGTATCTTTATAAGCACATTGCAATATAAACATAACAAAATTTGTATTATAAATATATGATAGACTAGTATTTTAACATAGTATTGTGAGTTAGTCATTACTATGACATTAGCCATATTCTATAAGTAGAAATAGAAACAAACTTTCAGAATTTGGACAATGTCCAACTGTTTGTTTCATAGTCCATTATTAAGAGATTCTGTAATGTCTACAGTTTTCCTTTATTACATCTCTCTTAATGTCTATGTGTTTCAGATTTTCTGAGATAACCTTAATTTAAAATATTTTGCCCATTGTCAAATCATGTATCAAAATAGCATATCTTAACTTCTATGTTTGGGTGTGTTTTTCCCCCCTAATTACCTAGAAAAGGGTTTCATCTGAACTTAAGAGCTATTATGAAGACGAGGCTATAAAGATATGTCAAGATTTAAATTCAGAGCTTATCTAATTAACTTTGCTATTTTTATGATGAAAATAATTGAATCATACTATTTCAAGAAAGAAAACTGGAGAGTTGTTTCCTTGAAACTGAATGATGTTATTATCATGTTTAAGTATAAAAGTATGTTGATAAGATGTAAAATTTCTTAACACCATTACTGCAATGTTCCATTTTGGAGAATAGAAATAGAGAATAATCTATCTTCTCTTTTTCTTTGTTTATATGGTTTTTGAAATATAAAATAATATATGCATCTACTTGCCGACTGCTAATAGTGCATATACTGGACCAAACATTTGCCACTGACTGTCAAATATCTTCCTGATGTAGCTGAAAATGGAGGGAAGAGAGAGAGAAAGAGAGAGAGAGAGAGAAACAGCAGTGTCCTTTGAGTAAGACTTTCTGCAGCTGTTGTGTACATTAATCCAGGGAGCAGATCTCCCAGCACTAAATATAGCAAGAGTATCCTTTTACATGATAAAAAAATTTAAAATGAAAGTCTTTAACTATGGAGTCATATTATTTTCCATTTAATTTCCTTTAAAAAGGAAATAGACATTCCACACATATTTGCTAGATAAGCACTATTATTTCAAATAAATGAATGCGTGGAAAAACCAATGACCTATGCAAGACTTTCCTGTTGAGATCTTTTCCTTTCAGATCCAAGTAAGGTGTCATCTCTGTGAGTCTCATCAATCTCCTCCAACCTTCGTTACGTGTCAAAAGCTTTATTTTCCCCTTAACTTTGTGTACCATCCTACAAAATTAGAAGTTAGCCTAGGTTTTGCGAAAAGCAACAGTAGAGCAGCTCTCTGAACTGTCCGTTTCCCCATTGTCAGTGTCCTGTCATCAAAACCCACTTGGGAACTTAAATCTGGACATTACCTTTCTTTTTTTAGTTGACCCAGATGAGGATGTCCAACCCAGGCACTCCTCTGCGATGATAATTATCCAAGGAGAACTCTTAGACGGAAGCACAGGAGAAAGAGAAAATTCTTCACGCCCTTGGAAATAGCGAGTAGCCGTCCATAGAGAGAGTGAGGAGTTAACCTTAGCTTCAGTGAAGATGACTGTAAGAAGCTGGGCAACCTGTCACCACCGAAGCTGGAGCATTTGTCAGCTCGCAGGTCCCAAGTTATTTTGAGCTGTATAAACCATGTGCTTGTGAAACATTCCACCTGATTGGACAGGAGAAAACTGAGCAAAGAGATTCCATGGCAGGACAGCACCTAAGGGGGGGTGGTAAACCAATTTTTCCACCTATACAATACCAATTCTAGACAGAGGTCAAGGCGGTTTATTGATTTATGTTGAGAATTAATACATCACACTATATTCTACTTATTTTTTAAAATTGCTTTATTTGTGAAATGTGCCCCAATTCTTCATCTGATGAAAGAAAATAATTTCATTTTAATTAATAAGAAATCTACTTATTTAACCACTGATATAATTTAAGACATGAAAAGCCAGAACAAAGCTGAACTCTTAACAAAGAGTTAGCTGAGAGGGGTTTTTCTTAAAGTGTTTGTCCAAAGGAAAAGCAAAAACAAAGAGGATTAGTTAACATCTAAAGTTGCTGATTAGAGATGTTACAGTCAATGTCAAGCAAAAAATCATAAACGTGAAACAGATCAGGGATAATTAGTTTGAATGAACATTTTCAGGGAGAAAAATATCAGAAATCATTTAAAAGTCAAAACAGCTATGTAACATACCACAATCCCTATTCATGTATTGGTACCTGGTGGGGCATATTTTTGCCAGATGCCTTCTCTCACAAGGATTATCAATCAGTAAGAAAGAATCCTTAACCAAGCTCAAATACCTACTTTGAAAAGTAAAGATTCTAAAATATTAATTTAATATTTTTTTCAGAAATGCATGCATACCTCATGTATTTGCCCTTTGCTTTATTGTGCTTCACAGATATATTTTTCCACTGGTTGAAGTTTGTGGCAACCCTATGTTGAATCATTTTTCCAACACTTTCTGTCTGTGTGTCACATTTTGATACTTGTTTAAATGTTTCAAACTTTAAAAAATGATACTATTACACAATTAATAACTATGTATAGTGTAAACATAACTTATACATGCACTTAAGAAATTTTAAAAATTGTGTCATTCCCTTTATTGCAATATTTGCTTGATTGTGGTTGTGTGGAATTCAACCTACCAAATCTCCAGAGTGCACCTTGCATGAATGGGGGGGGGGGGGAAGGGGTGGGAGTTATCTCCATTGTTTCACACAGATTAAGTGGTGCATTAATTAAGATAATGCTTAATATAGATAATGCAGATTATAGATTAAGTGGTACACTATCAATCTAGATAGAAACCTGGAATTCAAAAGTTCAGACTTAAATACTATGGAAGATGTTTTCAAAGATTCATCTTTATTTTTCAATAACAGGAAATATACCAATTAAGGCGAGCTCTGGTGGTCTAGTGTCAAGAAGGTGCACAACAATCCCAGAGGTGCACAATTTGAATCCACCAGATAATCTACTGGAGAAAGAGGAACAAATCAGATCCGATTTGACAGTACACACACACATAATAATAATAATAATAATAATAATAATAATAATAATAATAATAAAAAATACCAATTTAACTAAATCAATCCATTCTTTGCATGATTTTGTCTCATGTATTCATTCATTCAACAAGTATTTCTTGAATTTCCACTATACTGATAGACTGGATGTAAAGCAGGCACAAAATGGTCAAGAATTCGTAAACTGATGGGATTTAATGAGATTTGGCGACATTAAGGCTATCTATATTATATGTCCAAAAGGCATAAAATATGTTTACTGTGCTCACATCAGGTTTTACTGCACCTTTAGTTACTAGACTTTGTGTCTACATGTATGGAAAAAGAATTTAGGGAAATGAAAATAACACAAGTCGAAAGAATTATTACCAAGGAAGGAAAATGATACGGGAGGAACTAAATTGTCTGGGCCAGTTATTCTCATTACCAATAATAATGCAGACCTTGACTGTGTAGGTTCATTTGTTCTTACCTAATTCTATGCTTATACCAACTTCAGACTGTTTGACTGTGTTTCTGCATTTTTCTACTTAAGCAGATGCCCCAATATACTTTTATTTGAAGAGAAGGCATTCCTTTGAGATCCCATTTATAGCTTAAAACATAATAAAGTCAAGGACTGCCAAGTCTTGGGTGGGGACTTGGGAAGGTCAAACCTGTATCTGATGCCGCTGATAAATGTGTCAAATAAATTGATCTGCCAAAAAGAAATGCTTACACACACTATAAATTAACACATTTTCACTTCCTTGTGATCAAGAACCCTGGTATCCTACTTTTCCACCCTAGTATAGAAAACTTATGTGAGAGGAAACTATAATGAAAGAGAAAAATAAAGCTGATTGGGCAATAGAATTAAGAATCAATATATAAAACTAGATTTGGCTTTAAAATGCAAGGGAAAGTTAGAGAAGAATGTATCCAAAGTTTTTTTTCTTTATTGTGATTTTAATAGAAGTTTACAGAGGGCATGAGATGTCATCCAAAGAAATTTTAAATGGCAGCCATTCCCCCCCCTCCTTTCTATGGTGTCATTTTTATCATAGTGTACAAATTTTTTAGTTTTTCATGAAAACACCAGATGAAAATACTAGCAAATATATATATCTCCCTACAATAAATTCGCAAGACTTATAATTTGGGCTTTAGTTTTTAAAGGTTGTTTCTGCTCAAGCCTTACCTTGTTTCTCAGCAGTTGTAATTACAAACATTACACCACAAACCCATTAGAAGTTCAGATTTTTCCAGTTTGTTACAAAGAACAATCTTGAAAACTTGCCCAATGTAGTTGAAAGCAAACTACATAAGCAACGTGCAAACACAAGGGCACATGTCTTAAGGCTTTCCCATAAAGTAGAGTGACCCATCCAACACATGCTTAGTATGGTTTGAACATAATCCTGTGCTTGCCTTCAGCTGTTTTCTTAATTCAGTCATTCAGCTACAGCAACAATTTACTCACATTGGGATGATCCAAAGGAATGCCAAAGAAACTATAAGATCCATGACAGAGAAAGTCTTCACTATGAGGATAAGAGTGGGAGAATTTTCCCCATGAGTGCATTCATATACATTTTTTTTTGGACTTGCTAATTTTTCTATTTTACTAGATTTTGAACTCTGGAAAAAATTGCTCACAAAAAAAACAAACAATCAAACAACAAACCAAACCACCTTTATTATGTTTTATTTGCACTTGGTAGATTTGTAATGAGGTACCCTCCCCCAGTATCAGATGAAAACACATAAAACTCTATCTTACTTCTAAAGAACAAAGATGTGTACTTTTTTTTTTAACTTTTGATGTTTTTTTGTGGAAAAAAATTCTTACACCAATGACAGATTCTTGATTGACCAAAACAATAGAAAAAAATAGTGGAGTATCAACATTCTCTTGTAAATCTCATAATGGAATATAATTTTTATAATACCATAATGGGATATGCAATTACATTTTTATGAACTCTCACTTGCCTGAGAAAATGAAAAACCCTTAAAAACATTTACAAGATTAACATATATTTGGTTTTAAAAGCCAAAAGCATTTTAAAAATCTGTGTAGAGAACATCTGCTTAAAAACGTTATCCTGAAGACTGAATTTCCAGTTACCTGTCTCAGGAGAAGCACCATCCCTGTATTAATCAACCAGGATCGTCCAAAGCCCAAATCCCACTGTCTTGCTGTGTCTGCCACAAAAGCAGCATAAAGGAAATGCGATACTGCCCAGCCAGAGTAATGAGGGGTATTTACAGGGTTCCAGGGACAGTCATTTAGAACAGATTGCTCTTTCATATCAACTTTAATAACTCAGTCGGCACAATGTTCTTAGCCTACAAGGATGGTGGGGGTGGATAATGACTAAGATGACTAAGGAAATACATTTTCTGGATCTCTCCTTGGACTAGACAAGAAGTATGATAAGAAAGACATGATGATTATAGTGTAAGGAATGCACAAGATACCAACAACTTTATTAAAATAAACATGGAAAAGCAATCAATTATTGCATTATCTGACACTTGCTCCACTAACTAGGGTAATTCGAGTTTTACCTCTTGGTTTCCATTTACACATAATAAAGTTTCCTTTATTTCTGTTTTTTATATGTATTAAAGTCTGCTGTGAGGGAGCTCAGGTGGTTTAGCAATAAGAATCATGCTGCCAACACAAAGGTATGCAGTTCTAATCCACCAGCTGCTGTATGGGAGAAATATGAGTAATCAACTGTCATGTGATTTACTGTCTCTGAAAACTTGCTGAAGGGCCAGCTATGACTCTATGGACACAATAACAACAAAGTCAGCTTTGCTATTAACAAATTATTGAGGAGCAATAATGTTAGTTTGAAGACTAAGGTACACCTGATTCAGGCTATAACCTTTTCAAGCACTTGTTATGTATCTGAGAGCTTGACAATGAATCAAGATAACAGAAGAAGAATTGATGGCTTTGATTTGTAGTGTTGGAGAAGAGCACTGAATATCCCATCAACTAAAGAACAAATAGATATATCTTGGGGAAAGTGCAGTCAAGAATGCTCCTTGGAGGCAAGGATGATGAAGCTTTATCTCACATCTGTTGGGGATATTGCTAGGAGAGGTGGAGGGTCGGTAAAAGAAAAAGATCCTCAATGAGGTGAGTTGTCACAGTGACTGCAGCAATGGTCTCAAGTGTGTCAGAGATCTTGAGAATAGCACAGGATAGACAGGATTCAGATCTGTTGTTTATGGGGTCGTTATGAGTCATACACATAGTTCAGATGTTTCTCAAAAAAATATTATATCCAACAAGGGACTCTGCTTCCAGAATTTTTAAGAAGAGCATCTAGTGACTAACATTAACTTAGTGAAGAAACTCAAAACAATGAGTATCTTGTGTGTACTCCTGAAGGGGATTATAACTTTTCATCACATTACTATGATGATTAAATTGACACACAGAGACACATATATCATTTGGGTAATAAACTGACATTTGTTAGATATGTAGTACCATGCTGAGTTATTCTGGTACATAGTGTTTTATTTCAC